TAGAGTAAGTAGAATAATTATAAGAAATAGAATTATATTTAAAAGAATTATAAAAGTAAGTATTAAAATAATAAATAAAATATTATAATAGTAATTATAAAATTATAATTTTTAAAAAAAAATTATTATAAAGCTTAAATATATATATTTTATAGTTATAGAAGAAATTTAATTATAAATAATTTAATTTTTTTAAAGTATTAGAGAAAATAGATATATAGATTTATAAGCTAAATCTTTTTATTAGATATAAAAGAATTTATTTTATATTTTATATATCGTTATTAAAGTTATAATATTTATATAATAATAATTTAGAGTTATAAATAATTTTAATTAATAAAAAAAAAGAGTAGAAGATTAATAAGATATTAGATTAAAAAGTTTATAAAAATAAGATTAAATATCTTATTAATTAAAAAGATTTTTTATCTTATAAAGCTTTATAAAAACTAATAAAGTATTTTAAAAATATTAAAGATGTAATTAGAAACTTTAAGTAAATAAAGAAATTATATAAATTAATATTTAAGATAAAGTTAAAGGTATAGTCGTTAAGAGAAATTAAAAAATAAGATAAATTAAAAAAGTAATAGTAATAGAGAGTTTAAATAGATAAATAAAATTATAATTAAAAGATTTAATAAATATAATTAAAAAGTTTATAGACTTATTTTAAAGCGTTAAAGTATTATATATTATAAGTAAAGTAGTTATTAAGATTATATATATAATTAATACTATTTAATATTAGTCTATTTATTCTCTTATATTAAAAAATAATTTTTATTTAGAAGATTTATTAGACGATAGAAAGATTTAGTAATAGAGATAATAAGAGAAATAATAGAAGAAAGAGTAAGAATAATTACTTAGTAATAAAGGGCGATAATACGATAAGTAATTACTTATATTAACTATATATTCTAATATATATTAATTATAATATCTTATATCGATTTATATTTATAAGATAAAATAAATATTTTTATTAAAGTAAGTTATAGCGAAAATAATTATTTAGAGATAAAAAGAGTATAAATTAATTATATAAAGATAATTCTTATAGAAATATTATTTATATTTATATTAGCGTAAATTAATAGATAAAATAATATAAATTATATAAGAGTTATATATAAATATATATATATAATATAAATAAAAGAAGTCTTAATATATATTAGCGTAATCTCTTAATTATCTAATATCTCTTTTATTTATAAATAAAGATAAAAATAGCGATAAAAGAAGCTATTAAGTCTTTTTAATTAAATATATCTTTAAAATAAAAATAAAAATCTATTAATAATAGCGAGAGTAATAAAAATTATAATAGTTATAAGTATTTAATAATTTATAGAATTATAAGAATAAAGATTAGATATTATTATTAATATATTAATATACTTCTTATACTATTTAGAAAGTATCGTAAAGTATTTTTTAAGATATTTATTATATATAAAGTTAACTTAAGTAATTTTAATCTTACTTAATTATTATCTTAATTAATATATATATTATATTATTATAATAATATATAACTCGCTATCGCGATATTATAATAAGAATAAATAAAGATAAGATAATAGATATAAAGAAGAATTAAGTATTTACTTATATTAATATTAGTATTATTATTAAAAAAAAAAAAAGTTAGATTAAAAGTAAGATTTTTATATTTATTAACGCGACTTTTAATAATTATAATAATAGAATTATTATAATTATTAAAGTAATAATAATAATAATAGCGTATAATAATAGCGATAATAGTATATCGTAATAAGATAATAATATATCTATATTCTATTAATTAAGATAATAATACGTATAGTAATACTATCGCGATTTAGTATATAAATATATTAATATACTTAAGAAGATCTTAGAGTAAATAATTTAAATATACTATTATAGTATATATTAATTTAGATTATATTTAAGCTAGTAATAAATAATATATAAGAAATTAATAAATTTATAAGTATTTAATTATAAGACGTAATAATAATAAGATTTAGAGATTAAATCTTTTAAGAGAAAAAGTAGTTATAAGAATAAAAGTATTTAGAGCTTATTAATAAATCTCGCTTATATCGCTTATTAGATTATAAGTTATATAGCTAGAATAAATATTTAATTAATATATATAAAAGAATAAGATAGAGCTAAGCTATAAAATGTTAAATTTATATATATAATTATTTATAAATTTAGATTCGCTACGCTCTTTTATTATATCGACTAAGTTATCGTGGGTAAATAAATTAGCGTTCGTAACTATTAAAATCTCTTATTCTACTTTTAATTAACTCTTTAATAACTTTACTATTTTCTATTAAAATTTTTAGATTATTTTTTTGAATTATAGCCCGCAATTTGCGCTTTTCAATAATGGAAAAATTATGAAATTCGGTCTTATAATTATTAAAGCGCAAGGAATTCAAATATCGCTCATCAAAGTTCGCTCGATAGCCCTGATTAAAAAACAAGTGCACATTATTTAGTTTTAGAATAACTTTTTTATTTCTATTAAATATTTAAATTTTTTCTTTTAAATTATATAACGTAATATGGGCTTTTAAATAAAAAAAGAATTATTAAATTTAGTCTTATAGATATTTAAAGATAAGAAATTCAAATATCGCTTATTAAAGATCGCTTATCAAATTTACTCGATAGCTCTAATTAAAAAATAATTATAAATTTAATTTATAGATCTTTACTCGTATACTTAATAAAAGTCTTAAATACTTATAAGTTCTCTTTTTCTTCTTCTTTTTTTAATTATTAGTTTATCTAGTAATTAATCTATCTATTCTATTAACTATATATCTAAACCTCGTAATTATATAGCTACTACGTAGTTTTATTAAAAGAGATCTTATTACTTTATAATTATTAATAATTCTTAATTAGAATTAAATTAAATAAAGATATATAATTTCTATATATATTAATACTCTCTTTATTCTTAAACTTTTTTATATTATAATTCTTAATATTAATATTATAATCTAAATCTTTATTCTCTTCGAGAATTTAGAGATTAATCTTTTTTTAACGAATTTATTATATCTATAATACTATAATAAATTTTAAAATATTATCTCTATAAATCTTTTTTAATATTCTCTTATTAATATTACTTAATATATCGTAGAATATAAGATTTAATTTAAAATTATAACTTATTATAGTTTAAATATAATATTGATTTTTTTTACTATTCTTCTCGAAGAATTTTTTTATATTTTATATATATAATTAATAATATCTCTAATTTAGCTTTCGAATAATTTATAATTTATCTTATAAATCTTAATTAAAATAATATTTATTTAAGAATTAAATAAAGTACTAGTTTTCAAACTTAGAATATCTCTATCTTATAAGTTTAATATATTCTACTTTTTATTTAACGAGATTTCTATTATATTAATCTTTTTAATACGTAATATATTTATTATTATTTATTATTCTTATATATCGTTAAATTATTTATCTAGATATATATTTTAAATTAACTTTAAAGTTTAATTACTTTTAAATTAATACTTATATATATATAATATAACTCTTATCTTATATCTTTAGAATAAATTTTATTTTCTATATCTTATTATTAGATATTAAGAGATTTCTATTAAGATATAATATATTCTTTATAAAGTCGTATATTAAATAACGATAATTACGATTTAGATTATCGATATATTTATTTATTTAATCTCGAGTAATATTAAATAAAATTTCGATATTATTTTCTATACGCCTTTATAGTTTATTATTAACGATTTATTTTTAAATAATTATATAATATATAGAAGTATATTATAGTTAATTAGAAATATAGAAGCTAAGAAATAATATAGTAACTATGAAAATAGAGAGTCAGCTTGATTCTTTATAGAATTTTAATAGAGAGCTAAGCCGCTTCCCCAAATCTGGTTAGGGTGAACGACGAATTCTGGAACCCGCGTAGGCTACAGAGGTCTGCACCGAAAGTCCTGCACCCGCACTAATACAGCCTTAACCTTACTTTCGAAAAGCGGCCCTATAGAGGGGAAGCCTAAAAATATCTTCTTACAGCGCATAATAAGACTTAAGATACTTCTTTTAGTCTTAATAGAGGCAGTAAACCCCGAAACCTAGCTAGGGCTAGGTGCGATTTTAAAGAACTTCAGATATATTATCCAGGTAACCCTTTAGGTGAGGCGTTATCCGAAGTCTGAGCGCAAGAGTCTTGGCGGGTGTAGGACTTTCGGTGCAGACCTCTGTACTCCCGCATTGAAAACATTATGAAAAATGTTATGAGAAATGTTGGTGATGTTGGAGACTGTGTGGTAAAACTCTATGCCGAATAAAGAAGGCGCACGAGCGAATCTTAGGTCTAAGAGCTGGAGGTTGTTCAAAATTACAGAGGTCATGATGCGTACAGGCCTTTATGACTGTCTCAATACTACCAGTAATCAACAGCAAGCAATCAATACCTGGCCGCTCTGCGGAACGAGTGATGCCTGCAATCTAGCTGAAGCCTAAAGGCAGCAGTTGAGCCTTAGACCAATGTAGTGGAATCGCGGCATTGTTTCGTACTCCGTATAAGGACACCGCCACTACACGCCTCGCCTGCTTATTCTTGTAAAAACGGTACCCATTTACTCTCGCAGACATCAGATTTTTAGAGTATAAACAACGTTCGACGCCTTCGCTTTCCCCTCTGTCTTCCATGATCATCCTCTAACAAAATCGCGATCAATTAGTCCTTGAACGGATCTTCACTCTGATTCCTCGGCTCTCTCGGCTTGGCTGCCCTAAGAAACAGTCTCGCTTGACATCAACATCGCGTTCACGGTCAACGCCGCAAAGCTCAAAGTCAAATCTTCGAAACAACATTGCAGTACAAATCAGTAGTTCAGCCCAGGCGAAACTAAAAGAGCGGAGTCAGGGCCTAGGCAGATATGGAACAGATAATGGAAATTGAACACTCTTGCTTACTTCATTCCGACGCACATCCTCGCACCACGCCCAAACGGTACAAAATATTTTGCCAGGCGCGCTTGGTTTTCTGGCGAGCCCAGCCATCTCTCCGGCTGGAATTCGTATGGATCGTGGTAAATATTGGGATCCATAAGAATGCGGCTGATGGACATGCTGACAGGAGTCTGGGAAAGAAATCATGAATTGTCAGTCAAGCACGCCATATGAACATCATCAGAACTAGGCTCTCGATCATGGTCGCTGTTTTCGAACAGCCCAGGGTGTAAAATAGAGCGTGGCTATCTCAAGATGACAAAAAGGAAAGAGGACATACTCCAGCGGGAAATACCCATTCATCCTTGTTATATGACAATGGCTTTGCCGGCGAGACCAAAGGAAGCCGTGCAGTAAGAGCAGTCGTGATACGAAGCGACTCCTTAACAATCGCTACCTTTTTCCCCCCAGAATCCAAGATCTATTAGCCTGGGCTGCAGGATGTGGCATCGCCGTTCTCAGGCGCAAACTTATGCGAACAGAGACAAGTACTCGAGAGCACAGATTCAAAACAAGAGTATGTCGATACTTACAAGATAGCCTTGCTGCTCCAGGACTTCTAGCTCTGGGTATACGTTCGGCGCCGGCATTATAGCGTCCAACTCACTTCTCAAATGGCTGAGGACATGCGGGGTGGAGTTTACGTGGAACACAACGCGTGACATAACCCTCATTGTTGTTGCCGAGCCACCAACGAGAAGAGTCAGGACTTCTTGAGCCACACGGTCTGGCTTCTTCTCAAGTTCCGGTAAATTGCTGCCCAAGATGGCTCGGTAAGCGTCGACGTTTTCGCGAGAAAGCTCGTCGGTCTTCGTTTCGTGATCATTCTTTTCAGCCGTCAAATGAAGAGATAAGTATCGCCTTGCTGTAAATCGCATTCGCTATATTGCAAGCAAACCGAAAAGGTTCATCGTCAGCCAATCATGCGATACAACCACGTTTCGCCCTTATAACAATATCGGCGGCGCTATTGACTTTTGGGGGAAAAAAGAGAATCTTTCAAACCTTATGCATGAGGAGTATCAAATTCATGTCTGATGAGATGATTCGCATAACCCATCCAGGCACTTTGAGCACAAACGGCATTAAGAAAGGGAATTGTTTGACCATGGGGGTCAACTCGACAATTTTCCCGACTGTTTTTTGCCATTTCTTTCTCCGTTGGTCGTCATCGAGGAGTCCGTAAGTCTCATTTTCAAGATATTTGGCAACGCTATCGGTTGCCCACGAAAGCAAGTAAATACTGCATTCGAACGCTTCCCCACTTTTTGCGTGACGGCTCAATTCCCTGCAAAGAGCTTCTACTGTAGTGCAAATCGATGCCTGAAATGTTTGGACGGTCTTTTTGGAGACAAAGGTCTTCACTGCTGAGCGACGCTGACGATGAATGTAGTGGTCGACTGTACCGAAAGCTGTAAAGTTTCTCAGACAACACTGTGCATTCCTTTCTTTTTCGAAGGCTTCGTGCGAAGAATGAAGGATGACGGTCTCACTTACTTCCTTGGGGAACGCCTGACATATGAGCACTCGGTGCATACTTGTCTCGAATCTTTAACTATTTAGCACATACTTTCTGCCTCATGGGCCACATCAAAGTGTGCATACCGGCCCGGGACCGGGATACAGCGTGTCAAGCCATGTTGGATCACTGACATGGATCTCGTGAGGATTGATGCGGACGACTGGGCCTGCGCAGATAAGAACGAATTAGTCACGATTACAGTCACGTTGTACTATTAACATCGCGGTCAATGCCAAGGTTAGACTGTACCATAGCGTTCATGCATTCGATCAATTTCATACGAGAAGAGGCCGCCTCCACCCTTTATGCAGTCATGATAAAATTCGTACCATTTCGTTGCGGCAGCAATTTTAGGGCCAGGGAATTTTGCAAGCGGATGTAATGTCAGGCGGTAGATCACGAGAAGGATTGTGTAGCCTAAGCAGATTATTAATAAGTGCAGTATGTCGAAGATCATGTTTGCTCTGATGGTTTGGTGGCGAGCACAGAGGTAACACCTGCAACCACAACTTATGGGACTGAAAGAGGTGGGGTTCTGTTCCCTATTATTGACAGTTACCGAGGAGTGGCCATCTAGTAGACTCCGTAGCCGATTTGTTAAGGTCAGCAGATCGGACAATCAACTAAGTTAGACTCGCCGTTTATTCCTGCGTGATAGGTGCATGATACGTTCATGACGTATTCGTGGCTTACAGTACCTGAAGTAGGCCTTTGTAAGCATGATGGATGAAATCTTTTTGTAACTTTGATAGTACATTCTCAATTCCCGCTGTCCCCAATCCTTTTGGGTCATGGTAACGGTAAGTACACTGCCTTTCGATATACGTACACCACTGTGCTCGCGATTCCGCGCTCGATTATTAGTGTTGACTTGTTAAAGTAACTGAGTGGATAAGGATTGCGGGTTCTGAAAGCCGTTGAGAACTGCCATGTAGGTCAAGGCCGAGAAGCTGTTCCAAGAATTTCCTTCGTTGATAGCATCGGCTCTTACGGCACAGTGGCACTAAGTACAACGTGATATGTATGCATGAAGCTAACGCATGTGACCTTTCCTCCGTGCGGCCGTGGAGCTGGCATTTTCGGTAGATATTGCAGCACGCCTTGCCGAATTTCAACCAGTAAACTTTTGGTGGAACAGGCGAAATTTTACGTGTGAAACGTACTTGTCGTAATGAATACGCCCAATCCCCTGAGATGGCCGAAATGTGATGTTGGCTTTCGCCAGCAATTCGTATCGGTTCACCTGCCCCTGAAAACGAAACTTCACGGTGCTAGAGACCGTTTCTAATGTCATCTGCAATTTTTTCCGCTAGCATGTATAACGTTGCCTGCGGATGCCCAGGAGGAATAAAAGGCACAGCTGACATATCCACCACCCTCAAATTCTGCACACCAATCACCCGTGCGTGTGCATCAACAACAGCCCGAGTGTCGCTGGTTTTACCCATGGCGCACGTAGCACCGGCGTGATACAATGGAATGCTAGTGTTCCTGATATAGGTCAGGATTTCTTGATCCGTCTGAACAGTCGGTCCGGGCGCCAATTCTGGGCCTGCGGTGATGTTAGGCACAGTAGCGAAGGCTTGACGAATCCTCTTCAGCGCAGCAACGGCAACTTGCGCGTCGGCGTTGGTGTCGTCTGTGTACCAGCCCATGTTGATGACGGGCGGAACGGAGATGTCTGAGCTGGTAATAGTAACATTACCACGGGAGAGTGGAGCAGACAGCGCTGCTTCGATCAAGCCCAGACCTGATGCAGCCGGGCCTGTAGCTGTCGATGCTAGATACTCCACCTCTGGCCAGTCGGCTGGGAATTTCTTCAAGGCATTGAGCGCCGCTCTGGAAAAATTGCTCCGCAATAGCTGCGGAACTTTCTCGAATGCAATTAATCCGTTGAGCGAGGAGAAAGGGCCCGCTGCCTCTTGCAGGAATTGTGTAAGAGCTTCTGGTTCTTGAAGAAGGTTCTGCTGAATTGGTAGATTGATGGGCTTTGAGACACCGAAGATGGGCTGGTCCTGCAGATTTTGGCCCACTCCTGCGAGATCGACGAGCACGGGAATAGAGCAACTTTCAAGCGTTGCTCGAGGTCCGATGCCTAAGAACAATTGGTAAGAAATTTCAGGAGGCAGCGGAGAAAGGCTTGCCTGATAACATTAATAGTTGAGGCGAATGAAAGACCCCGGCAGAGAGTATGATCTCCTTTCTGGCTGAGACCACATAACTCAAGCTCCGCGTAGTAACATTAACTCCAGATGCGATTGTCGAGTTGAACAATAAACCAGTGGCCTGAGCTTGGGTGTACACGAAAAGGTTAGCCATGTCGATGGTCTGCCGCAAGAAAGACGTTTGCGACGAGGAGCGCTCCCCTGTCAGGGAGTCGATCGTGGACGGTATCCATGACGATTTCCCGGTCAGTGATCCGCTGTTGAAACCCTCTGCGATGATTGGGAGACCAACTGCTGCGAAAGCTTGCTGAAACCATGTCAAAGCTGGATCGACCCAATTGCTGTACGATACGTGAAGGGGGCCGCCGTCGACGCTGAATGCTTGCGGATCAAACTTCACGGTTGCATTGCCGGTCTTGCGCTTACCATCGTCTGGAGGACTGAAGTTGCAAGATTTCTGGAAATAAGGTAGTAAGTTGTGAAAGGTATACGAATCGTCTCCGACTGTATCAGCCCACCGTTGGTAGCTCCCAAGGGTTCCGCGGTGGTACGCCATGGCATTCAAAGCCGACGAGCCTGAGAGGGTTTTGCCCTGCACATAATGTATCTTACGATCCAGAGCGCCCGCCTGAGAGGTAGATAGCAGGCCCCAGTCCACCAATGGCTGTTCTGGAAAAGTCTCCGTGGCCGCATAGAATGGTGAGGCGAAGTATAAGCCGGGAAGTACGCTGTAATTACCATTATCTACCTCATAGAAGCCCCCCGCCTCGATGATGGCTACAGAAAGCGATGAATTCTCGGCCAGCCTGGAGGCTATAGTAATGCCTGCTGTACCTCCGCCAACGACTTTCAGTCTATATGTCAGCTTAATGATCTTAAAGCAAGGTCGATATATCTTTTTACCAACGTAATCGTAGACCGCATCCTGGCCGGGTATGCCAAATGCGGTTGAACGCAGACGAGTCCGGCTCTGGTCGTATTCTAAAGTGCGAGCGGCTTGTGTATAGAGAAAGAGAACCAAGGATAAGGACACGGGACTCGCAGACAGAACCATTTTCAATCAAAATCGAATCCAAAATGAGCTATGGAAGGCTGACCTCAGGTATAGGGAGGTTTTTCCGACACACTGACTTCTTATGATGCCTGAGACATTACCAGCGCTGTCTTCTATACACTGTTGCTGAGGTGGGGTGGCGCAGCCATAGACCATCGACTTGAAAGTGATGGATGGCACAAAGCATAACAAAGTTACTGTTCATGCGTTTTCGGACTTACTATAGGACTAGATGATAATTAGATTACATGGTCAAGGCAATCGGCACTGCCTCATGTGCACGGATGCCATCAGTCCCATAGGATTGGATATTGACACGACGCCCATGTATCTACGCTCGAGTTCGGGTTTTGACAATTGGCAGCCTACCTTGGAATCTGGGAGCTGAATGGGCTGATAACTTGGTAGATCGCGTGTGAGATCGGAGATTAAGGAGGTTTTTCGTGGGGCTGAACAGATGCTCCTCATACCTGGCGCACTGATTGGATTGTCTCGACGGAGTGCAGGAATAGTTCTAATGCTGAATACGGGGCGGTTTCGGGCACGTATTTTGCATGCGGGCCTAGATGCTTTTTCAGCCTATCGACCACACCGCAACACCAGGATTACGGCAAAGATTCCAGTCACTTAATACAGAATGTGTAAACGCCTTGTAAACTCTATTTATCTGTCTGATAAATGTGGTGGAGTAGTTGGTAGGGTTGCAACAACCAGCGGGAGGCAAAGTGCGGCTGACGAAGGTGGACTGGAAAGATGATGCTTTCGATAGGCTTCCTGCCGTAGAGAATTGGGCCAGAATACCATGATCTATCTAGCCTGATATCATGAGATGCCTTGCGCTGATCGTTGGCAGTGCAAGATGCTAGAAAGCCAGCATTCTTATATGTTCGATGATGACCGTATTTGAGTCACATGTGCACCTCCTAGCATGATTCTTTTACCGATTTATCTATGCTATGGTTAGTGCTCGCAAACAGTGAGGCCATACAGAAATAGCGTATGCACAAGGGGATATATAGATAGATGATTAGATATATCCAACACTGGGATAGCTAAGACCTTTCTAGATATGTAAATAATCTAAAAAGACTCTCTAGCGCTAGAAAAACTCTTATCTCTAAGCGATATATTCTAAAGTAAAAAATAAAGCTATATATAAATATAAGTAAGAGAAAGAAGAATAATAAAGCTTTAAAAGAGAATAATTTAAATAAAGAATTAATTACTATTATAGTAAATATATAAATAATACTCGCTATAGATATTTATCTTTCTATTATCGTATATTATATAATAATAAAACGATTAATTAAATAACTATTAAAGTTATTAACGCTATTAATATATATAAAAGAATAAGATAAAGCTAATTTAAAAAATCTTAAATTTATATATATAGTTAATTATAAATTTAGGTTCGCTACGCTCTTTAATTAGATCGGCTAAATTAGCTCGCTAGCCCTTTCGCGCCTTCTTATTAAAAAAATAGATATACGTTATTTATATATAGAATAACTTTTTTATTTTCTATTAAATTTTAAGATTTTTATTTAAAATTATAGAATAAAATTTACGCTTTTAGATAAAAAAAGAATTTTTAAATTTAGTCTTATAATTATTAAAGTATAAGAAATTTAAATATCGCTTATTAAAGTTCGTTTATTAAATTTGCCGACAGCTCTGATAAAAAAATAGATGTATATTATTTAATTTTAGAATAACCTTTTTATTTTCTATTAAAATTTTGAGATTTTTTTTTCGAAGTATAGCCTATAGTCTACGCTTTTCAAAAATGAAATAATTTCGAAATTTAATTCTATAATTCTTTAAAAGTATAGAGTTCAAATATCGCTTATTAAAGATCGCTTATTAAATTTACTCGACAGTCCTGATCAAATAAAATAGTTATGAATTTAATTTATAGGCCTTTACTCGTAATCTTATAATAAGCTTATTAATATATATAATAGAATAAGATAAAGCTAAGCTAAGAAATCTTAAACTTATATATATAATTAATTATAAATTTAGATTTATTACACTTTTTAGCTAGACTATCTAATTTAACTTATTAATTCTTTTAAGCTTTCTTATAAATAAACTAAATATATCTTACTTAATTTTAAAATAACCTTTTTATCTTCTATTAGAATCTTTAATTTCTTTTTTTAAATTATAAAGCGCTATTTACGCCTTTTAATAGTTTAAGAATTCTAAAAATTAATCTTATAATTATTTAAAAGTAAGAAACTTAATAATATCTATTAAAGATCGCTTATTAAAGATCGCTCTATCGAATAGCTCTAATTAAAAAAATTAGATATATATTATTTACATTTAAAATAACTTTCTTATTTTCTATTAAAACTTTATAATTTATTCTTTAAACTTTAGAGCGTAATTTATACTTTTTAATAGTTTAAAAATTAAGAAAGTTAGTCTTATATTTATCTTAAAGTAAGAAACTTAAAGATCGCTTATTAAAGTATTTTTATCCTTCGAGAATCGAATTTAATTTTAAAGTTACTTTTTATAAATTTAATCTATAAACATTTAAACTTATTAATTTATAATCTTATTATTACGATTAGTACTTATAAATAGTAAGATTATATAGAAATAATATATATAAGTAAATATATAGATAAATAATTAAATATAAAAGTATATAAATAAGAGTAGAATTTTTAATTTTAGTTAGATTTTAATAAAGAAATCTTTAACTCGATCTTAATTCCCTCTACTATACTAATATTTTTATTTATTCTAAATAATTTAATTCGTAATAATTCTAGTACAATATCTATCTTCTACTTCTTTAGTCTCTTATTAGCTCTCGCGTTTTTCGAATATATTAAGTTTAATTTAGATTTATTATCATATCTTAATTAGCGAGCTTTAGAATTTTTAGAATTTAGAATTTCTTCTTTTTCGCTAAAGTCTCTTTTATCTTATATCTTTATCTTTTCTTTTCTTTTCTTTTATCTTTCTTCTAATATAAGAATTATACTTCTTAATTATTAAATATATTTCTCTTATAATTTAATTTTTAAGAATTATTTTATCTAAGATAATTTATTTAAAGAGATCTTTATATTTATCTTTAATACGCGTATATTAATTACTCTATATATTTTTATAACTCTTCTAAAATAGCTATTCTATATCATTTCTAAGTATTTAATATATATTTCTTAAACTTTATTACGTTCCTAGCAGTTCCCAGCCTAGCGTGACTTGGCGTATCGCTACTTTCTTTAATTTCGTTTCTTTATAGCTTGCTAGAATCAATTAACTATTATATTAAGAAACGTCTTTCTTTTATATATGAATGTACTTTTTCGAAGAATATACTTACTTCTTATATTCGTAATCTTAATAAACTTCTTTTAATCTCTTCGATATATATTATATTATTACTACGTAGATTATTATTAATCTTATTATAATATTATATATTTATCTTATTTTATTAAATTTAGCTTTTTAAATAGATATAATAATTATAAATAATATCTTATATTATAAAATTATCTTCGCTTTAACTTTCTTAGTATAAAGTCTTTATCTAAATTTTTTATTAATATAAAAATTTAAAACTTGAATATTCTTTTTCATTCTATAGTTATAATTTCTAAATCGATAATAGCTTTTATATTAAATTTTCTTAAATTATAAATAAGATATATTAATTTATACTTTTTAAGAGTGAAAGTTATTCTATATATTTTTACTTATCTAAAATAGATATAGATCTATTTAAAAACTTTATAGTTTCTTTTAATCGATTTTCTATACGTTAATAAATAGATATTATTTTTTATAATTTTTAATCTATAATTAAAGTTTAATCTTAAAGTATTTTTTAATAAATAATACGTTAAAGAATAGAATTAAAATTAATAATATCATGAATCTTTATAGAATATTACTTTTCGCGAACTCTATCGCGTTAGTCTTTCTTTTTAATAGAATAAATATAACTTTATTCTTTAAAAAGCTCTCGATTTATCTTATTAAATAAATTATTTCTTTTTTTTTAAAATTATAGAGTAATCTTTAATAAGAGATATTATTAAATAAATTTATTATATTAAGAAATAAAGGATTAATAATATTATCTCTATCGTAGTTCTAGATTATATATACTACTTCGACTATTACTTTTAACGCTCTTTTTATAAATCTTTTTCTTCTTATCTTTATTTATTCTAGAGAGAGAAGATTATTATTTTCTACGTAGTCGCTTAAACGTTTAACTATTATTATCTTAAGTATCTTTTCTAATATACTTAATAGAATAATAATTAAATATATCTAATATTAAAATAGCTAAAAAATTTCTAAATATATAAATAATTTAGAAAAAAATTCTAGTATTAAAAAAACTTTAAAATAATCTAAGACGTTATTTAAAGAGAATAAAAGTCTTAAAGAGAATTTTAAACGATATTTATTATAGTAAATAAGAGATATTAATAATATTAGCGCGAATAAATTAAAAGATATTAATATTATAATAGTAATTTAAGTATATAATCTAAGTAAATAATAAAATAAAGACGATAGAAATTTAATTTTTAACAATTTAATAACTAAATCTTATTATTACTAAAGTCGATATTACGTACTAATATTATAACTTCTTTATAAAAGAAATAATCTAAGTAATAATTCTTTATATTAAATAATATTAATATCTCGCGATAATTTCTAATAACGATCTTTATAATAAAGAAAAAGTCTCTTAATTAAAATAGCGATATATTAGATAAAGCTTCTTATTTAAAGAGATATTATAAGACTTTAATTATATATATATTATCGTTTAATATAACTATCGTAGATATAATCTTATAATAAAATAGATTTATTTTAAAAGCTAAAAGCGTAAGTTTTAGATAATTATCGAAAAATCTTATCGAGCGACGTATAAGAAACTATTTATCGAAATTCTTCTATTAAGAATCTCGCTTATTATAAATAAATTTATCTATATATAGAGATATCGCGAAGATAAAATAGAAGAAGATATATAGAGTCGTCTTAACGTAGATTAAATTTTTAAAATAAGAAAGAATTTAATGTAAATGTAATAAATTTTTATTAACTAGATATCTTTCTTTAATATTAACTTCGCTATAAAGATAGCGACTATTTATAATAATATATTATAACTAAGAGTAATAATATATTAAGATATTATTAAATTCTATATCTATATAGATCTATCTAAGGCCGATAAGATATATCTTTATAGATTTCGACTTAACACGATAAGTATTTAGGTTAATAATTTAGTCTATAAGAGCATTTATAATTACTAAAAAAAGAATTAATTATCTTTAAGTACGTAATAACTAATATAGATTAATCGCTAACTCGAGCTTCTAATATAAGATATTTTTTTAAAAAAAAATTAATCGTAATTCTCGCTTTAGTTAGCTTATTCGAGAAGAGTCTTAATTATATATAAATACTATCGAATCTAATTTCTAGAAATTTAACTATAAAATCTAAAATAATCTTTATATAAATAATTTAAAGATTTAATTCGCTATATAGTTAATCGAATTATTAGATATATATAATTACGTTATTATTTAAGAAAAGAATTATAAAGATATTATCTAAATAGTAAAGTATTACTTTCTATAGAAGAATCGCGATTAAGATTTAAATAAGAGTCTTTATAAAGAGATATAATAGAAATAATAGAAATTGTTCTTTTTAATAGCGTTTATCGTAATTAAGATTAATTAGTTATTAATTAAATATAGCGATTAATATATATCTAAAAGTATCTTTAAGATCTCTTTTAACGAATTATATCTCTAAGTCTTTATATAATAATATTTCTATTATATTATTATATATAGTATATTTTAGTATATCTTACTTTGTCTAGATATCGTTATTAACTAAATAGTCGTATAAGAATAAGAGATTATAGATTCGTCTTTAATTTTTTATCGAGTTTCGATATTAAATCGAGCGACGAATAAATAATAAGGATTAAAACTAAAGACTAATCTCGATTAAATTATATTAATATAGCTATTCTTAAAGATTTATTAATAATATTTAAGATATTAAACGTATTAATAGATAATTTTAATTATAGTAAATTAAAATAAGTTTAAATATCTATAAATTAAATTAATAAAAAGTAATTCTAAAATTAGATTCGATTCTCGAAGGGTGAAAATACTTTAATAAGCGATCTTTAATAAGTAATATTTAAATTTCTTACTCTTAAGTAAATATAAGATTAAAGTTTAAAATTCTTTTATTATTAAAAGGCGTAGACTACGCTCTATAATTTAAAAAAGAAATAAAGAAATTTTAATAGAGAAGTAAAAGATTATTTTAAATTTAAATAACATATTTTACTTTATTTTAATTAGAGCTGTAGATTATCGAGTAAATTTAATAAGTAATCTTAAAAGAAATTTCAAATTACTTACGTTAAAATAATTATAAGATTAAATTTTAAATTTCTTAAATCGTTAAAACGCGTAAACTACGCTTTATAATTTAAATATAGATTTAAAAAGATTAAATAGAAAATAAATAAGTTATTTTAAAATTAAATAATATAAATTTATTTTTTTAATAAGAAGATTAAAAAGAGCTAATAAATTAAGTTAAATAGTTTAATTAAAGAGTATAATAACTCGAAATTTATAATTAATTATATATTTAAACTTAATCTTTTTTAGCTTAACTCTATCTTATTCTTATATATATATTTATATAATCTCGAAAGTCTATCTTAGCGCTCTTTCGAATAATAATTAAAATAATATTAATAAAATTTAGATTTAATTAAGTATTTAACTATTTAAATTAGTTATTAATTATTAACAATTTTTAATAAAGTAAATTTAAGTTTAATAAATTATATAGCGCGTATAAAAACTTTTTAGATATATACTATAGTAACTATAGTATCTACGAATATCTTAAGAGTTATTTTATTTTAGAAATATAATTATCTAATAATAATTAATTTAAAGCTATTTATAACTAAATTTTAAACTTTAAAATATTTATTTAATAAGTAACTTTATTAATAAACTCTATAAATATATAAATAAATATAGCGCTCGAGAAAATAGTTACCTCTATTAAAATTCTTATAACTTTAAAATTATTCGATTATAGCGAGCTTATAAACGCTAAATATATTAATATTTAACTTATTATTATTTATATAAATTTCTTTAAATATAAAAAAGTCTTTATAACTTTAATTATTCGCTTTTTAGATTTTAAAATTATTTTAATTACTTTAAATACTCGTAGTAATAAGATAAGATAATAAGTAAGAATAAAGTTAAATTTATAGATAATAAGTAATTATAATAAACGTATAGTATATAAATAAAGAACTTAATTAAAGTTCTTCTTCGCGCTTAAATACGCGAAGTAATTAGCGATTATTAAGTATATATAAAAATAATATATTATATAATTATAACTATTAATATTTTTATTCTTTTTAATTAAAATAATATATATATAAATTAATTTAATAAAGTTTTTAATCTTAAAGATCTTAAAGAAGATTTACTTAAAGTATTTAATATTTATATTTCGAAATCTTTTAATAATATTAAGAAAGGGCTTCTTATCTTTTAAATAACGAAATAAAATCTCTCTTCTTTTCTTTTAATTCGATTTAGAGTTAAACGAGTTCGAGTTTAATATATCTAAGTAATAATAATAATAGTTATAGCGATAATAATAGCGATAATAGCGTAATTTATAAACTTAACTATTATAATAACAGCGATAATTTCGCTTTTCTTAAATCTTAAATAATTAAATTCTTAATTCTTAAAAATCTACTCTAATAATAAGTAAAAGTATTTCTTTAATCTCGTTTAGATTAATAATATTCGATAATATCTTATATATAATAATCTTCTCGTAAAGAAAAGATCTTTTTATCTTAATAACTTTCTTAGCTTTAAAGGCCTTATTAATTATTTTAAATTTTTTTTAATAATCTTAAAGACGAGAGTAACTCGTTTAATCGTATTTTTAAATTAATAGTAATAGCGAGAGCTATTATAAAGTATATAAAGAGTATAAATATATTTATAATAATAAAATAGTATATTTATAATAATTAATTAAGAGCTAATATATATAAACTTAACTACGAAGAAAAAGAGAAGAATAAAATATTAAAGGAGAATAATATTCGAATAAAGAGCTAACTATTAATATAGTAACTATATAAATAATACTCGCCATAGATATCTATCTACTTACTATCGCATATCGCATATTAATGAAACGGTTGATTAAACAATCATCAAAGCCAGCAACGCCAGGGTCTTATAATGGACCCACTAACCCACAGTCCCACTGTTGCGAGATATCAAAGTATGTCTCTTTCTTCACAGGATCATAGGAACTCTTTGGTGAATGCCCCTTGAGGGTCGAATTCCTTCTTGAGGGCTCGTAGCTTAGTGAGTCTCCCCTGACCTTTGAAACGTTGCTCTATAGGACCAGTGCGGGTGCCATGTGGTAAGTCGACATGAGTTTCAGGTTTCGTACCAAAGCGCATGGTGTCGATCGCGCGCTGTTCGAATCCGAAGACTTTATCCCAATTTTCTTGTCTTTGACACCAAGAAAGGCAATGACTATCGCACACATCAGTAGTGCCTTTGTCACCTCCCCAAGGAGTCAATATCAGATTCCTTGAAGTTTGACTCAACTCAAATGAACACCAGCGTGTTGTTGTTCTCCTCTATCTTCTTCATGGCGCTTTCGATATTCAGTCTTCGTCTCGCAGGAACTTCAAAAATGGATCCTCAATGAAATTGTAGAGGGTAGTTGACTTACATCCAGATGCGAACATCATGATGGCTGAACGCGGAATTCGTTGGGATGTCAGGTGGTGGTAAGCAGTGCCACTCGATGAAGTACCCTGAAGACGCAGCATCCGGACAGGAATCAAGCAGCTGTTGGAACAGATCCGCCAGTTTCAGAATATTTGCAGCTTTCAACTCCTGTAAGCCGGCAAGAGTGAATCGTCTGAAGCCTCCTTTGCCGCATGCAAAGTCAAGGTGGTCGCTGAGGTTCGGGACAAGCGGTGTCGTCTCGCTGAAAAAGGACGGTCCGAGGTCTGTCAAACACTGAAATATTTTTGGGCCCTCTGTAAGATCGCCGAAGTAGTGAGGTACAACGGCGATCGTAGGCTGGAAGTACGGCGGAGGTGCTATGATCATTAGAAGACATGCTGTACGGCTTTTCGGAGTGTTCACAAGTGTTTCTATCACTTCGAACACTTCCGCGGCACGTTCGAGCGGATACATGAAGTTCCCGATCCAGTGCCGCCCATCGTGGGTACCGAAGATGGTCAGAGGGTATGTTCTTAACGTGATCTCGATGACAGCCCCGAAGTAGAAACCGGCGCCTTTGATGGCCCAAAACAAATCGGGTTCGTGCACATTGTCGACGTAGACGAGCCGACCATCGGCGAGAATTACCTTTGCGGACAACATATTGTCGCAAGCTAGACCCATGAGGCCTGTAGCGACACCAAGGCCTCCTCCTAAACAGTACGGAATCACACCTATAGTATTTGCGTTTCCGACAGCTGTATTGAATTATTCACAACTCCTAAAGCCATCGAGCTAAGAGCATTTCATACCTGCACACTCCCCTGCATCCGCAAGAACTGTGGATAGCTCTTTCATCAACACGCCACCAGCCACAGCGACTTGATGTTCAGTGGAGTTGACTTGAATGGATTTGAAGATGGTGAAATCGAGAACGAATCCATCGGTACCAATTGTGGACCACAAGCTGTGGCCGCCACATACTGAGACGAAAGGTATTTGATGGACCGATGCAGTTTTCACCTAGCCGTATCATGTCACTACAGGACTTTCTCAGCGAAGGGCGTTGAACTTGCCGTCGTGACTGCATCAAGCTCGTTCGCAACTTGTATGATAGCTCCAGGAACCTTGACGTCAACATCAGACCAGCGCAGCAACGCAAGCTGAAAATCTTTGCTTGAAGCATCAGTATACACGCGAGCTTCGGGAGAAAGGTTAATTCTCAGCTCAATGATAAATCGGCTCAGCGCCATCTCGAACTCTTGAAAACGGGTGGAGGTTGACTGAGGTGTGAAAACTGAAACTTTGAGAGATTAAATGGGTTCCTTGACATCGAAGGTGTCCGCGCTTGCTCCGAGGTCACACGGGGGACTGAAATCCTGAGGGTCCGCCAAGTGAAAGTCCCGTCTTCTGAGAATGGTGTATTTTGGATGGTTACGTGTATCATACACCCTCAGGATACGAACACCAAGAATGAGTAGGTTAGTCTAATTTTCAAAAAAGTCGAGTCGTGCGACGTGCATATGACATATATGCGACGTGCACGCAATGTGCATGTATGACTCAGTCTAGTTTAGTGCATTGGTGAAAGCTGATCAAGACCACAAAAATGGCTATCTTGTCACAATTCTACTGATCGGCTCGTGTTGATCATGTGTGCATCTTCTGTGCCTTCTCAGTTGATTTGTGATGCCCGACTAAAGCCAGGCTACACCTAGAAAAGAAGAAGCCCCGCAGCACCATTGTACCAGCGCCAATAGGAATCGAAGCTATTACGAACTAAATCCCTCTGAACGCACCTAAGATGTGATGTGGGTGCACAGGTTGCTGCCACGTCACCAGGGGGTGCGATAAGTGAGTAAGGTAACTAGGCCGGATTTGGACTGCAACCGAGGCCTCGAGGAGTGGGAGGGTATTTTTCTGAAGGAAATCTAGGCTAGAGTAGATGAGATGCCTGAGCGATGTGCTTGGCTAGTAAAGAATGGTGGTAAGGGCATTAAGCCGGCGACATGGTAATCAAGTAGCATGGGATAGACGGAAATGTAGCCATTCAATGCTGGAGAAGCTATGTCCAAATCCGGCCTAGTTACCTTACTCACTTATCGCACCCCCTGGTGACGTTGACCGGACCACGGGAATTAGATCCGAAAGGAACAGGGATTATTTTGCTGGTTTGTCATGAGCAGGGTCAAGAAAGCTATCATTTGTTGCGAGGCAATGCAATACACATCAATACACACCAGTAAAATTTGATCAATGATGATAAAAGGGGTAATTTCTAAGAACAGATCCCCATCAAGCCGGCGTTCCCGGGTTACAGCATCTGTAGCCTTGGAACACGACGACTTTGACCTGCACCAAGGAAAATCCCTCACACCCTTCTCCTAAAGCAGTCGGATCCGCTTTCTGCAAAATTGCCTTAAAAACAAAGCAAATCTGACACGCATTGAAAAATTGCTTCACACCCTTATATATTTTTCGCAGTAGGGTTTCTTTCCTGCAAGGTCGCATCGAAACACGTTAATTTATATTACCTTACCTCCAATCATGCCCGCCAGTTTCCGGATCCAGTAGCAGATTTTCTTTAATTCCGCGACTTAGGCACTTATGCACCTCACCTCTTAGAGTAGATTCGTATGGCACGCTCCGTGTCCAAGCCAGGCATAAGCCGCCTTCAGCCCGTCGACGATCCTTTGATGCAACGTCCCAAGGGGGGGGGGGCTTCTCTGAGCTGAAAATGCTTCAAATTTAAAGGATGCAATATGATTCCCGTGGCACGGATGACATCCATGTATCTGCGCGGAACTAATTACCAGTATTGCCCTCACCGCCGTGCACCCTGCAAATCTCAGCTGCGTTAATGAGTACGAGGCATCTATGCGTGGGTTCAGGGTTCAGCTACATCTTAGGGTATGTGAAGTATGCGTTTGGCCAGTGAAATTGTGACCGTGTATCTATAGCGTGACTACTTGCTAAGAGACCCCTGCATTCCCTACGCTGGAGATGTCCTGCAAGGCATACGCTGGAAAATGTACTAGGGTATCGAGCAGTGCAAAAGGTCTAGAGTAGAATTGACAATACAGCAGCTGGAGCACTCAATATTGAGAACAGGTGGGAGCTTGCTGGATTTTTTTCGTGATTTATAACGTGACGCATATTCCCGCAGCCAAATCCTGTTCGTAAATGCCGTATCGAGGAGTAGCGAGACTATGGGCCAATGCTGGTCAGTACCTGCAGCTTGAGCTACAACGCTGGATGTCCAAAGGGGAGATTACCTCCAGGTAAGGTTCCCAGAGCAATAGAACTGGCATCCCTTTATAAAAGCACGCAGTTCGCGGGCCTCCTCAACATTGTGTCGCTTCTCTTGTTTCAGCAGTCGCTGTGCCGTCTCCTCAAATGCCTTTACATTCACGACTAGAAACTCTGCCGTCTGATCGACCGCCACTTGTGCATCCCTCGATCGGGCGTACAGGAGTGGGATCATACTGCTTATGCTCCCACGAGCCTGTAGGGTTTGTCAATCTGTTCGTCGGAGTCTGGGTATGGCAATGAAATCGCAAGGGTAACGAATAGTGGGCTTACTATCTCTTTCTTGAGGGAGACTATGTCATTGACGCTGCTCACTGCGGTCAAATTGGAACAGAAAGCAAATAGAACAGTGTTGTTGCATCCTCTGACTCATCGACTTACGTTGAAATAATAACGTTCGTGTAGTCCCACAGGAGCTTCATATCACCGTCTTCCATCACCGATGTCGGTAGACTCTTATTGTCCCAAGCGAACCTGAAATAGTCTGTCAGCGAGATAGTTGCGGCATAGTCTATACACCTGCGCTTTCCTCCATGACTCACTCATTCAACGCGATGGTGACGTGCACAGCACTGCTTCCAGGGCGATACAACCAGAACTCCTCGAGTGATGGCAATGTTCCTCGTAGCCGTAGCATCTGTTCTTGCTGAGACATTTCCAAAAAGTCTTCCATATAATTCATGAATCTCTTTCGTTGTTCTGCGACTAGTCAGCCAAAGTCCGCCACATCAAGAGGCAGCTTTAGTGAACAGGAATTCAACAGACCGAAATTGTACACCTTGCGTATTGCCGTGCCTATCGTCTCAAAAGCTTGAATGGTCGCATTTACTGTCTTGACAGGTCCGATATCCGGTTCGCTCGTAAGGCTCAGGCAATACTGTACGTATTCGCGAGTTTCGTTCCGGTATGGATTGGAGAGCTCAAAATTGTCCCACAGGGAGCCATTGTCCATGTCGATCTCTGGAAACACAACCACTCAAGCAATCAGCGCAAAAGTCCTTGAATCTTTTGCAATGTTTCATGCGTACCGTCGTCCCAAACGAACAACTAGGAAATACACTCTTTTCAGCTAAATTTTCCAACGTGGTGGAGCAAAACACCCACCCAAGCGGCTAGGAAGGTGACAATTCTCAACCGCTCATACGTAGCACGCGGCCACCAGGTAGCGCCAAAATACCCAAAGTCGGCTGCTTTGAGGGTTTCTAGCTTCGGGCTGTGACTCATAGCACTGAAAAAACCGAACATCAACGTCATACAAGTGACACTTTAGAGGGCTTCCAGCAGGAGAATTTTGATGTCATACCTGCCTAGCCATTCGTCCACATCGTGACGGAGCCGGTCAAGGTTCTGATTGACTTCTCTTGGCCAGCCGTCAAGTATTGCATTCAGGTCAGGTAATATGATCGACTGGCCATGTAGCGCTGTGAGAATCGAGATGGGTTGTTCTTGGGTCATTGTTGAGCTCAAATAGCATGGCAATCGATTTGGTATTAGCCATGAAATTTCTCTGTGAAAAGACACAGATGAGCTAGGTAGGTATCGATCTTGGACCCTTGATCATTGTCCCATTATTTTTGATTGGAAAGATAGCCATTTCATCACACGATTGGCCTGAAAAGTACATCAAGATGCGTGTGACGAAAGATCATGCGGGGAGCCGGAAATGTCGGCCGTCTGACACACGCGAGGCTGAAAGATGCAAGAAACCAAGAATGTCGAAAACGCTGACGTCCGATAAAGATCGATTCCTAGCAGAGTAATGTACCGTACTTTACTGAATAAGCTGCCGAGCCTGCTCCGCATTTGACCCGGATCCACTCCTGCTGGGAGAGCCGAGACTCTGGAGAGTGGAGACTTTACTAGTTGCATAAAGCCTGGAAAGGAAAGGCCGCAGGGGTGGTTTCTGCCACTCCACTACGGGAGCTGTTTGGCACCGATGATCATGTAGCGTCTCTCGGAGTTCCCACTGTCCATTGTTGGGTAATGGGTAGATGTATCGCCAATGACTGGTTGCAAGTCAATTCAGCCTCGTGGATTTTGACTTTCGTATTTCCATTCACCATGTTGACGATCCACACCTGTGAGATATGTCTCCGTGTGCAAGGCTCTGTGCCGCAACTGAGAGCGCCCATGTATGCAAGTCGAACCCCAATTCATGGTTGAGGAGATCTTTCCTTGATGTCTAGTGGGTTATATCAGCGCAACACTCGGCGTTACTCAACAGATGGGTAGGCTCGACCGCTGATCTTGTACCGCGTAAGCTGCCACCAGGATTTCTTCATGTTTCATGACACTCAGCCAATGCTGCACCTTAGAGAGCTGTGGCAGTGTGTGCCTCGACGCTCACTCTGATCTGCTTGGTGTCTCTCGTTAGCTTTTAGGGTCCCTGCTTTTCTAATTCTGAAAGGCAGCGCCAAAATCTCCAACTTGTATTTTGGCCATCCCAATCTTGAATTATTGCCTCAAAGCCTTAGTTTCCTCGAAAATAGGTGTATATTATGGCTTCATCGACGACGCCGACGTCCTTGCCAACTGACGACAATAATCGGGCTCCCGGATTCATCGCTTGCGTTACAATCACCTCGGTAGCAGCTCTCATCTTGGTATCCTTGCGAATCTATGTCAGACTGAGAATCGTGCGCAACTTTGGGGTGGATGACTTCACAATTCTACTGGCTATGGTACATATTCTTGCCCTACATTGCGCTTGTCCGTTCGTTCACTCATACGAATAACGCTCGAACAGATCTGCTGTATCGTCGCCCTCTGTATCAACGGCGTGCAAGTATCCCAAGGCTTTGGCCAGCATGTCATTCACTTGACGCCGCAACAACAAATTGGGGTACAGAAATGGAACTTTGCCTTGGAAATGCCCATCCTCGTCGGCAGCGCCGTCTCCAAGATTTCGATCAGCCTCCTGCTTCTTCGTTTGCTGGGAAACGCGGCGGGTCGTATGCGAAGACATTTCCTCCATGGCATCAATGTTTTCGTGGTTGTCTACACTATTATTGATATCGTAAGTGATATCACCGCTTGTGCCCCGCCTGAAAAGCAATGGAACCCGGAATTCCCCGGTACGTGCAGAAGTCAAGCGAGTATCATAGGGATTGTATACTTTCAAGGAGGTTTGTACTATCGAATATCTGCAAGAAGGAGGGTTTCGCTCATTGGGATTAGCTTGCTCAGCAGCAGTTGCTCTGGCCCTCTCCTCTTTGCCTGTGGTCTTCTTTGCAAATCTACACATGAATCCAAGCACCAGGGTTGTAGTTTGTTTACTTATGAGTCTTGGAGTCTTGTAAGGAATATGGGCAACATTATAAAAACTTTTTGGCTGACATATATCCAGTGATATGGTGTGTTCTATAGTCAGGACAACACTGCTTCCAGGTTACGACAAGAGCTTGGATTTTTCTTGTAGGTCCCATGCGCCGAGAAAAGCCATGGATACCAGAAACTAACATAAGTCCAAGACACCGCGGTTCCAATCACGATATGGGGCACGTGAGTGTCTCTCCCATCCGCTTTCGATCTCTGCTGGTTAACAAAGTTTCAGTCTCGAACTCAATTTCGCAATCATGGCAGCCTGCATCCCTACCCTCCGTCCACTTTCCCGCTTCTTCGACAGCAGCAAGGCCGGCACCTCTTATCCATCTAATCGGGGCTTTGTCAAGCAGAGCGAGACAACTCAGGATCGTGCTTTTCGTTCGAATCAAACACCGGGAGCCAGCGCACCATACAGCCTTACTACCTTTGAGCCTTCTCACAGTGACAGCCGAAGTGAGAGAAGCATTCAGCCACTCACAGACTCCGATGCCATCAGGAAGACAACAGAAATTAACATTGTAGTCTAGAGTCATCGCCGACTGGTAATAAGTGCAACGAGAGCGTGGACGTGAGATTCTGGATGTTTCTAGCTTGCTCATGCATGACGCTTCGATTGCCGCCCGCTTTTGAATTTTGGGTGGTGAGTGTCGCTCTGGCTTGTGCAAAGTAGTCGCTCTTTGTGGAGGAGGATCAAACCACTAGCCGTTAGCGGGTAAATTACAAATTCATACCCCCAAAACCTTGGATTCTTACAAATTCATACCCCTAATTACATTTGCATACCCCTCCACTAAATTTTGGGGTATGAATATGTAATTCACTAAACTACGTCTTTAAGCACCCGGTATCTTAGCGCCCCTAAAGAAGCCCCGAGAGCCTGGTGAGCTGGGGACGTCTTAGCCCCGGAGTGAGGGAAGAGTTCGACGAGATAGCGAACCCTAGAGATCTTCAGTTCGGGGTTCCCGAGTACGGCGGACGAGGGCTGACACTACGACAAAACCAAAACCACAATTGAAAAAAAGTTTTAAGACTTCGTTTCGCGATTCCTACTAAGCATATTTCTTAACTTTTATACGAAGTATATATATTATTCCTTTAACTACTATAGAATTATTATAAAGAATTATTATTAAAACTTTAGAAATATATTATATAGTCTTTAAGCTTAATTAGACTAGTTTAGATATTAATTTATAAAGATTATATAAAGTTCTCTTTTAAATAAATTCTTCTTCTTTAATAATAATATTAATATTATATAGATATATTACTATAATATCTTCTCTCTATATTATTTTATATAAAATTACTTCTAGCTAATTTTATATATTAATATTATTATTATTAATATTATTATTATTAATATTATTATTATTAATATTATTATTATTATTATTATTATTATTATTATTATTATTATTATTATTATTATTATTATTATTATTATTATTATTATTATTATTATTATTATTATTATTATTATTATTATTATTATTATTATTATTATTATTATTATTATTATTATTATTATTATTATTATTATTATTATTATTATTATTATTATTATTATTATTATTATTATTATTATTATTATTATTATTATTATTATTATTATTATTATTATTATTATTATTATTATTATTATTATTATTATTATTATTATTATTATTACTATTATTATTACTATTATTATTAATAATATAAGTAATATTTTAATACTTTTACTTTCTATAATCTTTCTTAATCTTTTTATTTTATATAAAGTTATTTATATATAATAGCTAGCTAATATTATATAATAAGACTTTTATCTTATAAAATATCGCCGCTATTATTATTATTTTTACCGCTATCTCAACTAGCTAGTACTCTTATCTTCTTATAAAGTAATAATAGCTTATATTCTTTATTCATAACTCGATTAATTATGCTATTCTAGTCTTATTAGAATAAAATATTAATTTTATTTAAAAGGCGATTTAGTCTTATTAAATTAAATAGTATTAATTAAGATATATTAATATTATTCTAATCTAGTCGCGCGAACTTACTATCTTTATAACTTATCTATAATACTTATAAACTTCGCGTTCTAATCTTTATCTTTTTCTCATATATTATCGCTTAGCGAGATATTTTAAGGAAATATATATTAATTATAAATAGCGAAATTATGAAGTTTAATACTTCTTTATATTAAAAAGATTATTTAAAGATAATAAAAGTAAGAGCGAAGAAAAGTATAAGCGTTATTTTTATTTATTCGAGAGAGGTAATAGCTCTTCGAATTAAAAGTAAGTTACTAGTTTTTAATTAAGAGAGAGAGAGTTATTAAAAGAGGTTAATAATTCTATTACTATTTAAATATATATTAAATTTCTTTTATATAATATTTATAAGTCTTTTTTTTATATAGTTTACTTTAAAGTATAGTTATATACTTAAATAATTAGCTTATATCTCTATATAATATTTAAAATTAATATTTTATTAAAGAAAAGCTAAGATAAGCTACTCTTCTATATTATATAAAGTATCTCTCTTTATATAATATAGATAGAATAAAATTTAAATATATTATCTTTAGAAGAATATTTATATAAAGTTATTTAGACTCTTATAATTATTAGTTATTAAGTTTAATATAATTATTAAGACTATTATAGTCACTTAGCTATTATTATTATAATTATCTATAATTATTTTATATAAAAAAAGTTATTATAATTATTTAGCTATAATAATAATTAACTATTTTAGATAAACTATTTATAAAAGATATTAAGATCTAAATATACTAAAGTCTCTTATTAAAAGATACTCTAAATTAATCTATCTCTTTTATATAAAGATTTATTTACTAATAATTAATATCGTATAATATATAAATAGATTATATTTAACTTACTTCTATCGTTATTACTATTACTTCTACTATTTTTACTTTTCTTTTATCTTCTTTATTTCTTTATTCTTATTATCTAGAAGTCTTTCTAGCTCTTTAATTTAATTTCTTATATAATTAAATAAAGATTCTTTATTAAAATAATTTAATAAGTTATAAGTCGTAGATATAAATATAATTAATATTATTATTATTATTAAAGCTACTATTATAATAATAAAAGAAAGTAACTTTATATAAGCTATTATAAATACTATAGTAGCGAAAGATTTAGATTTTATATAAGTATAATTAGTTAAAAATTAATTAAGAGTTATTATTATATTCTTTCTTTAATAATTAATTATATTTTTTAATAATTCGTTAGATAATATATTTATAAAAAGATTTTAATAAGATCTTTTATAAGTCGATATTTAAGACTTTAATTTAATTATATAAGACTCTTATATAAATTTAAAGATAGAAAGATCTTCTTACTTATATCGATTTCGAGAAGAAGAAAATTATAAAATACGTTAAAATTATATAAGTTATTTCTTTTTTTAATCTAAGACTCTTATTTAATAAGAGTATTTTCTTTAAATAACTTCTCTTCTTTAATAAGAGATTTATATAATTTTATATAAGATTATTACTTTTAAGCGATTATAAAGATAATTTATTTCTTATTTCTATAGTATTTAATAAAGAATTTCTCTTCTAGAAGCTCTTTTATAGTTTATATAAATAATATATTTTTAAAGAGCTTTATAAGACTATTAGCTTTAAATTATAATTATATTAAATATTACGAGTAAAGGTTTATAAAATAAATTTATAACTATTTTTTAAAGCTATCGAGTAAATAGATAAGCGATCTTTAATAAGCGATCTTTAATAAGCGATATTTGAACTCCTTACGCTTTAATAATTATAAGACTATATTTAGAAATTCTTTTTTTATTCAAAAGTCTATATTTCGTTCTATAATTTAAAAAAAAATCTAAAATTTTAATAGAAAATAAAAAAGTTTTCTAAAATTAAATAATGTATATCTATTTTTTTATTATGGCTGTTCGGCTATCGAGCGAACTTTAATAAGCGATATTTAAATTCCTTACGCTTTAATAATTATAAGATCGAATTTCAAGATTTTTTTATTATTAAAAAGCGTAAGTTACGAGCTATAGTTTAAAAAAACATCTAAAAAATTTAATAGAAAATAGTAAAGTTACTAAAAGAATTTAAAATAGATTAAGAGATTTTAATAGTTATAAATATTAATTTATTTATTTATAATAACTTAATTAGTTTAATTAAAGAGCGTAGTAACTTTAAATTTATAATTAATTATATATATAAATTTAAGATTTTATAGCTTAACTCTATCTTATTCTATTATATATATTAATTTAAGATTTAAATAATTTTTATATAATTATAAAAGATTAATACGCTTTTAAATAATATTATTATAGATAAAATTCTAATAACTCTAAATTAGATAATAAGAAATTTAAATTATAGTAGAGTTTACTTAGTAGTTAGTAAATCGTATAATATTAATTAAGAGTAAATATCTATTTTCTTACTATTAATAACTTTTATAAGATTTAAAATCTTTATATTTCTAATAATTATAGATTATATAATATATAGAATAGTTATAATATTTATATAAGAGCGGTTATTTATTAGTAAGATTATTAATTTTTTATTAATTAAAGAATATTATATAATATTACTTTATTATATATTCTTAATTATTATACTTTAATTATATAAAGTAAATTAAGACTCTAATTACTAGTCGAAAAGATATAGTATAATATAATATATTAATCTATTATATTATACTCTAATAAGATATAGAATATTAATATTTATATAATTTCATATCTAATATAATATAAAATCTTAACGATATATATTATAAAATAATATATCTATAATATTATATTATGAAATAGTATATATATAGAATATTTCGATTAAAATTTCTATATTTAGAAGTATAAGTAGCTATTCTAGTTATTATTCTAGTTAATTATAGCTATTACTATTATGGCTATCACTACTATAACTATTACTATTATAGCTACTATCGAAATATAACCCTCGCGTATCTCAGCCACCGTATTTTTCAGCCACCTAGTTTTATACTATATTTAGAATCTAGCCTCGAAGAGGTTTTAAAGAATTAATTCGTTCGTTCTATATATTATATATCT